TACGTTAGACCGTTCACTTTCGTGGGCGTTGATTACTGTGGGCCATATTTGATTCGCATTGGAAGAAGTAGCGTCAAGCGGTGGGTGAGGTTGTTCACGTGCCTGACGGTGAGAGCTGTGCATTTGGAAGTGGCAAGTACACTGTCGACTGAATCTTGCAAGATGGCTATCAGGAGGTTCATTTCAAGGAGAGGTGCGCCTCAAGACATCTACAGCCACCAGGACACGAATTTTGTAGGAGCAAGTAGAGAACTAAAGAAGGAGATTGACAGCATCAATCGTTCGTTGGCGGGAACGTTTACTAACTACGACACACAGTGGCACTTCAACCCACCCGCTGCACCTCATATGGGTGGCGTTTGGGAACGTATGGTACGCTCAGTGAAGGCCGCTTTAGAAACTCTCTCCACGTCACGGAAGCCTGACGAAGAAACTTTTCGCACATACTTGGTAGAAGCGGAGTCCATTATCAATTAACGGCCATTGACATACGTTCCGCTAGATTCACAGGAAGATGAAGCACTAACACCTAATCATTTCCTGCTTTTGAGCTCTAGCGGAGTTGTGCAACCAGCCAAGATGCCAACTGATGAAGGGAGAGCCCTCAGATCAAACTGGAATCACGTCCAGTATCTCTTAGATCAATTCTGGACGAAATGGATCAAAGGATAGCTGCCGACCATCAATCGACGAACCAAGTGGTTCAACGACATCAAACCAGTGACACCAGGAGATTTGGTTATCATAGTGGATGAAGGTATTAAGAATTGTGTTAAATTGATAGACAATAATCGAGGATATATACAAGAAGTTGCAACACGATAAACACATTAAAATTGGACTTAACAATGTAAGATTTCTATGTATTCTAATTTACACTTAAAACTAATTAAAATAAAATTTACAGCTTAAAGCATATTCCCACAAAACAAACTGGGTTTGCTAAAAAGACGTCCGAAGGTCTATAATTGTCGTGTGCCGCAACAATTCGCATAGACATTTTGAATCCATTTTGATATATGTCAATGCAGCAGACATTGTCCGAGCTTCGGTTGATCTTGTTGAAGAAATTATCTGAACTCCAGAGCGATGTGCAGAACCTAGAACATTATATATTGAATGAACCACATGGACCCCATGAACCTGTTGCTTTTAACCCTCCGTTACTCGCGCTGTTGTACTTTGTACAACACACAAGAGTTTTCCATTGTCATTTTGTTGCTGAGTTCCCAATCGATCTGAAACCAACGAGTATTCCTCAAAAAACTTGTTTTGATCTAAACAAGCTAAACTTTGATCACAGTAAGCACCTGAAAAATGCGGATAATGGGGAAAATTTAAATGGAAACCGCGTAAACTGTGACCATACTACGTGGGATTTGACTTAATTGATTACAACCTGGAATAAATCGAGATCCTGACCAGATTTAAAGTTTCTGTCTCCGACAAAGTTGTTCAGGAGATCATAGCCTTGTCGCTGGCGGACAGTAGTTCAGAATTTTCTCACTACGTAGCGCTAGTATAGATGTGAAATTCTCGCATGTGATATATCTCGAGATCCTGACCAGATAGAAAGTTACTGTCTTTCACAAAGTTTTTCAGGAGGTCAAAGTCTATTGCTTGGTGCTCAATAGTTCAGAATTTTCTCACTACACGACGCTAGTATACACGTGAAATTCTCATCTTTTTTTTTTTTTTTTTTTTTTAACTCTTTATTTGTTCCAAATTCAAAATAAATTACATTTCATTTTTTAACCTAGGTGCTCCAGTTACTACAGTAACTTACCAGCCTTAATTGTTATGATATATATCTAAGTGTTTTTACATTGTTCCTGTCTTGGCAATTCAGTATTTTAAACAGGTTTTTTAAACCTGCATGTCAGTATAACAATTGATAGCTTAAAACTAAATAACTAAAACTAAATCTTATCTAAGTATAAAGGGAATTAATCGTTGCAATTGAGGATTGTAACGATTTTTGCCGGAAATTATTAATTATTTTGTTGGACATTTGTGCTAAAGTCTCAACATTCGAAATTCTATGTACTTCGGTAGTACTGTACCAGGGAGGCAACTTCAAAATCATCTTCAGAATTTTGTTCTGAATCCTTTGAAGTGCTTTTTTCCTGGTAGTGCAACAACTAGACCATATTGGCACAGCGTAAAGCATGGCCGGTCTAAAAACTTGTTTAAATATTAGAAGTTTATTCGTCAGGCAAAGTTTGGATTTCCTGTTTATAAGAGGATACAAACATTTTATATATTTGTTACATTTGGCTTGAATGCCCTCAATGTGATCTTTAAAAGTTAATTTATGGTCAAGTATTAATCCAAGATATTTCACTTGGTTTGACCAGGAAATTGGAACTCCGTTCATAGTGACTATGTGACTACTACTAGGTTTCAAAAAGGAAGCCCTGGGCTTATGTGGAAATATTATAAGTTGAGTTTTGGAAGCGTTGGGAGAAATCTTCCATTTTTGTAAATAAGAAGAGAAAATATCTAAACTTTTCTGAAGTCTGCTGCAAATAACACGAAGACTTCTTCCTTTAGCGGAAATGCCTGTGTCATCAGCGAACAATGATTTGTGGCAACCCTGAGGTAAATCAGGGAGGTCCGAAGTGAAAATGTTATACAATATAGGCCCAAGAATGCTACCCTGAGGAACTCCTGCTCTAACAGGTAGTCGATTAGATTTGGAATTTTGATAATTTACCTGCAGAGTTCTGTCAGTTAAATAATTTTGAACTAATTTCATAATGTAAAGTGGAAAATTAAACTTTTTCAATTTAGCAATCAAACCTTCATGCCAAACACTGTCGAATGCTTTTTCTATGTCTAGAAGAGCAACTCCAGTTGAGTGGCCTTCAGATTTGTTTGAACGAATTAAATTGGTAACTCTCAAGAGTTGATGAGTAGTTGAATGCCCATGGCGAAATCCAAACTGCTCATCTGCAAAAATTGAGTTCGTATTGATGTGAAGCATCATTCTATTCAAAATTATCTTTTCAAAAAGTTTACTTATTGAAGAAAGCAAACTTATTGGACGGTAGCTAGAAGCTTCAGCTGGATTTTTATCCGGCTTCAAAATTGGAACAACTTTTGCATTTTTCCATTTATCAGGAAAGTATGCCAAATGGAAACATCTGTTAAATAATTTTACCAAGAAAGACAAGGTACTCTCTGGGAGTTTTTTGATGAGGATATAGAAAATTCCATCATCACCTGGAGCTTTCATATTTTGAAATTTTTTAGTTATAGACCTTACTTCGTCCAAATCAGTCCCCCAGGAATCATCAAAAATATTTTCCCGAGAGAAAATATTCCGAAAATCCCGAGCAACCTGATTCTCAATAGGACTAGTAAGACCCAAACTGAAATTATGGGAACTCTCGAATTGCTTAGCAAGTTTCTGAGCTTTTTCCAAATTTGTGATCAAAATTTTACCACCTTCTTTAAGCGCTGGAATTGGCTTTTGAGGTTTTTTCAAAATTTTTGTGAGTTTCCAAAAGGGTTTGGAACTCGGGTCTAATTTAGAAACATTATTTTCAAAAGTTTTGTTCCTCAGGGCAGAGAATCGCTTTTTAATTTGTTTTTGCAAATCCCGCCAGATAACTTTCATGGCAGGATCGCGTGTTCTTTGAAATTGTCTCCTACGGACATTTTTAAGACGGATCAAGAGCTGAAGATCATCGTCTATTATAATTGAATCGAATTTAACCTCGCATTTTGGTACTGAGGCAGCTCTTGCTTCAACTATAGAAGTAGTCAGAGATTCAAGAGCATAATTAATTTTATCTTTGGTTTGCAAAGGAATGTTTGGATCGAAGTTATATTCCATAAATGTTCGATACTGCTCCCAATCAGCTCTATGGTAATTGAAAGTAGAGCTGTTGGGATTACAAATTATTTCTTGGGATATTTCAAAAGTTACTGGAAGGTGATCAGAACCGAAGTCAGCATGGGTAACCAATTGGCTACAAAGTTGACATGAATCAGTTAAGACCAAATCAATAGTGGAGGGATTTCTTGCAGAAGAAAAGCATGTTGGGCTGTTTGGATATTGAATAGTGTAATAACCTGCAGAACAATCATCAAACAGAATATTACCATTGGAATTGCTTTGAGCATTATTCCATGAGCGGTGTTTTGCATTAAAATCACCAATAATGAAGAATTTAGACCTATGACGGGTAAGTTTCTGGAGGTCACCCTTGAGAAAATTCTTTTGCTGGCCTACGCATTGGAATGGCAAATAGGCAGCTATAAACGTAAGTTGTCCAAATTTTGTTTCAACAGAAACTCCCAAAGTTTCAAAAACTTTGGTTTCAAATGAAGAAAGAATTTTATGCTTGATTCGTCTATGAATAATGATGGCAACGCCACCACAGGGTCCATCAAGACGATCATTTCTATAAATCAAGTAATTTGCGTCCTTCTTAACCTTATGGTCAGGTTTAAGGAACGTTTCAGTTATAACGGCAATATGCACGTTATGAACTCTCAAAAAATTAAATAGCTCGTCTTCATTATCTTTAAGAGATCGAGCATTCCAATTTAAAATGTTTAATGCTTTAAAATCCATTACTGAATTTTAAAGTCATGACAATATTATTAGCAAATTTTACTCCAGTTTGAATAGCATCAAACATGGAGTTAGATTTAAGCATATCAGAAATCATGTCAATTAATGAATTCTGTAAAAATTCCATTTTAGGAGCAGTAATGCTTCCTAAGTCAAAATTGTCAAAATTTCCGTTAGAACGTTGGTTAGTATTTTGATTTCTACCCGCTGCAATAGCAGCATAGGTAGCTCCATTAACTCGCTGAACATTGTTAGCAGCGAGGGGAGTAGGTACAGATGGAACATTTGAAGCAGGGGTGATATTTGTACCTACGGGTACGAATGTAGAATTTGTTCCTCGCTGACCGTTGTTAACAGCAGAGGAATTTGTACCTGGTCGGAAACGTGGAGCGTTTCCTACCTGTCGGTTAGAACGAGATTGTAGGATCGCTTTGCGAGTCTTACATTCCCAAAAATTGGATTTGTGGTTTTCACCACAATTTGAACATTTAAATTTCTTAGGATCTTCCTTCACAGGACAGTCGTCCTTTGCGTGAGAGGAATCACCACAATTCATGCATTTAGCTGGCATGTAGCAATTTTTAGTTCCGTGACCCCATCCCTGGCACTTACGGCACTGAGTGAGGTTTTGGAAATTTCCTCCAGTCTTCCTGAAGTGTTCCCACTTCACTCGGACATGGAGCATAAGGCTAGCTTTTTCTAAGGCCTTAAGGTTGTTTAGTTCACTAGACTTGAAGTGAACTAAATAAAAATCATTAGAAATCCCGTTGCGCGAATCGCCAGGACGGGATTTCATTTTCATTTTGATTACTTGGAGTGGCACAACTCCAAGTAATTTTGCCAGTTCATCTTTGATCTGATCCAGGGATTCACCACTGGGCAGTCCTTTCATGACAACCTTGAACACACGTTCAGTTTTGGTGTCGTAAGTAAAAAATTTGTGCTTCTTCTCAGTAAGATACTTGAGAAGACATTTAAATCCGTCCAAGGATTCAGCCAATACACGGCATTCACCCCGACGTCCAATTTGTAGTGAAAACTTAACTTTCACGAAATTCAAAAGTTCCATGCGAAGAGCATGGAAATCGGTAGTGGTTATCACAATAGGGGGAATCTTTTCCTTCTTGGCATTAAGCCGGGAAAGTTTACTAGAATTTTTCTTGGATGATGGATCATTCTCATCATCCGTGAGCAAATCAAATTGATTACTCAAATTAATTTCTTCAGAAGGGGGGTCAAGAGTTTGCCCCTTTCTTTTGCGTTTAGGCGCCATGGCGGCATTAAATGTTTTATCCAAATCGACTTCCAAGCAGATTACTATAAGAATCTGAAGGATCGAAGAGGAATTTTCCAAATCGATATCCAAGAAGGATTACCTCGGGTAGGGTCCAAACAAGGATCGAAGAGGAATAAGAGGAGTTGAACAAGGTAGAAAATTTTTACAGGTTGAGCACTGAAAAGTGCTGTTTAAATTTGTTGTAGCTTTAGGTAGTAGTAACACTTCCTTAAGCAAAAAGCAAATAGATCCGCACGGCAAGAGAGCACGATGCGGACTGAAATTCTCATCTTAAATATCACGAGTTCCCAACCAGATAGAAAGGTACTGTCTTCGGCATAGGCTTTTTCGCATGTGGACAGTAGTTCCGAGTTTTCTCGCTTTGCGGCGCTACTATACACGTGAAATTCTTGCAAATAAAAAACTCTAGATCCTGACCAGATAGAAAGTAAATGTATACGGCAAAGTTTTTCAGGAAGTCATGATCTTTTTGTTGGGTGACAATAGTTCAGAATTTTTTCACTATGCGGCGCTAGTATATACGTGCCTTTCTCGCATATTCAATAGCTCGATATATTGATCAGCTAGAATATTGCTGTCTTCGGCAAAGTTGTTTAGGGGGTCAAAACTTTTTGGCTGGTAAACAGTAGTTAAGAATTTTCTCACCACGTGGCGTTAGTGTACATGTACATTTCTCGCATATGCTATATCTCGAGATCCTGATCAGAGAGAAAGTTACTGTCTATGACAATGTTGTTCAGGAGGTCAAGCTCTTTTGGCTGGTGGATAGTAGTTCAGAATTTTCTCACTTCATGGTGCTAGCATACATGTGAAATTCTCGCATATAAAATATCTCAAGTTCTTGACCAGATAGAAAATTATTGTCGTGGGCAAAGTTGTTCAGGATATCATAAAATTTTGATCGTGGACAGTTGTTCAAAGATTTCAACTACCTTAAAAAACTTAGCCGAAGACAGTAACTTTTTATCTGGTAAGGATTTAGATATATTTTATATTTGCAAGAATTTTACATGTATACTAGCATCGCGAAGTGCCGGCGCCGGTGGTGTAGAGGTAAGCGTGACTGCTTTCTAACACCCCAATGGGTCTGGGTTCAATCCCAGCCGAGGTCGGTGGGATTTTTCTGAGGCATAAAAATCTCTGGTCACGTCTTCCTTCGGAAGGGAAGTAAAGCCGTTGGTCTCGGCCCACGTGTGTTTGAATGGGTGTGATATCCTACGCAGGTGTGGAAGCTGCCTTCCTGCACATTCGATTGCCGTCAATGGATGGCAATCGATGTCCATCGGTGATTGGCACTAGATTGCGGAACAGAGACCGACGTTAAATAAAGGAAAGAAGAAGGAGCACCACGAAGTGAGAAAACTCTAAACTACTGTCTACCAACATAAATGCCTTGACCTTCTGAACAACTTTGCCGAAGACAATAACTTAACGCGTATTGAGACAATTTTGAACTATTGTGCACCATGAAATAGGCTTTGATCTCATCAACAACTTTGTCGACGACAGTAACTTTCTATCTGGTCATGACCTCGAGATATATCACATGCGATAATTTCCCATGTATTCTAGCGCTACGTAGTGAGAAAACTTTGAACTACTCTCCACCAGCGAAAAAATTGTGGTCTCTAGAACAACTTTGCGCAAGACAGTAACTTTCTATCTTGTCAGAATCTCGAGATTTTCCATGTTGTAACCATTTAAGTCAAATACCACGTAGTACGGACACCTTTTACGCGGTTTCCATTCACATTTTCTCTATTAACTATGATTAAATGTGATAAAAGCTGAGCTTGTTTAGTTAAAAACAAGTTTTTTAAGGAATACCCGTTAGTTTCATATCGATTGGTAGGTCGGCTGCACAATGGCAATTGAAATCTCTCTCTGTTGTACAAAGTACAACGCGCGATTACTCGTGTTACAAAAGTTGGCGCAAGTAACGAAGAGTTAAATAAGCAAAATTTGTCAACAATCGGTCTTGAAATATTTTTTTGGGAGCAAGTTGAAGTCTGGGTCATATAGACCCGTTAATGCACTTTGTGTATTTTTTTTTTCTTTTCTTAATGCATTTGGAAGGTTAAATCAGCGCTGAGAGAAAAAAAAAACCAAATTTAAAAAAGTCTCCACCCAGTCCGTCGCACAGTTCATTAGGCCGCCGCTTGCTTATCGCGCTATCAAGTTGACACTTACTGGCACAGAGTGCTGCTCCTGATGGCTTCACCGCGATGAAAGCTCACCAAGTTGGAAGAGAAAATTGTCCCACATGAAAAACACTCACCTCTGGGCCGCTCCATGGCTGCCGTGACAACTACTCGAGAAAGTAGAAGCCTTCCTCGATGGTCTTTTTTTCATACTTCCCCATTTTCTCCCATCGAAAGGAAGTCTTCGACAAGTGCAGAATAGTGGAAGTGTTCCGCGCAATCGGCTTGACTGCACCTGCTGCCACCGCCGGAGTGGTGGTACTCTCAAACTAGTGAAAGCTTGGTCCTCCTCCCCAGCCACAGAAGAGCCCCGTCGTCTTCGGTCGGGCGTCGCTCTCACACACAGACACACCGGGAGGGGGAGGTGAAACTGTAACCGTGAAATCGTCAACTACTGTGTAAACTGCCCAACCTACCGTTTGTTTTTTGTGCGCCGCAACTGCCGGTTGTGCTTTGATGATCTGCTGCCTCTGCCGCCGATGTTTGACGGACGAGCTGTAGAGAGCGCAGAACTCGGAACAAGGAAAAAGTAAGTAAGTTGCATGTCGGGGCTTCTCTTTCTCCCTAGGTTAGTGGTTTTCGGGTTGTGCCGCACGGAGCACAGCGCTCGATAAAATTTGAATCGGATTTTTTTCAGGACGTCCTTGGAATCAATGCTCAATGCCCTTCGTATATTTTCCATTATGCTGATAAAGGCGATGATGCTCCGTGACCTCAATAGTTTGGAAGCTTCTGCCTGGGGCTGTTTGTATCATCCCTAGTTTCGCACTGAGATCTGAAGCTAAAGGATGCAACTTGACGGTAATTGTGTGTGGTTGTGTAAAGATGAAATAAGTGCAGAGCGGTGGTTTGGGGGGGTCGGAAGTCTGCTGGGTGACAGCTGATGGATGTTGGAATGGAGAAAAAAACTGTAAGCGAAATAACATTTCAAGGTCGGCACAGCTTTGTAGCGCTGGCTTGGTGGGAAAGTGTTTTCTGCTTTTTATTTGAATTACATTTCCTGAACAGGCTTTCCCCGGGACCGGTGGAACTGAAGGACTCGGCGTTTTGAGATCTTAATCACAGATTGTTTGGAGCTGTAAAATGGAATTATATGGAAACGGTAGTATCTCCTGTTTGTCTAAGGCAAGCTCACCGGTCCGTTTGTTGTTGGTGAATTGTCCGGATCAGGAGTGCACTATGTTGCAGATTGTGGGTGGAGATCAAACGAGCAGTGTTGAGTGGATTGTAAACACAATAGCTGGTCTTTTATCGTGTTTCAAGGTTCCGATGTAAATTTAAGTGCTGTTGTGACTTTACTGAATTGTTTGTCAAATGGCATGGTACAAACTATCTAGGCTAGATCAAGGGATTTTCAAAAATGTTGATGTTATGACATATAACTTAGATTATAAAAATCTCCATGAGCTTATATTATGAAGATATTCTAAGGAAATTTTTGGAACAATTCGAAAGCTATGCTTCCTCCACTTTCCAAAGCTATTACGACAACTTCCATCTAAAGAAAACACAAATGTTATTAGCAAACAAAAACCGCAGATAAAGTCAACTGAAAGCAATAACAAATCCACACAAAAGAGACCACTAAACTGTAAAAGCACATCACGCAAGAAGCAATTGTTTTCCAAGTGATTGTTGCCATTATTAAGGGAAAATTTTCCAGAAACAAGATCTTGTGTAGAAATGTGCTTAGCAGTTCGTTTCCTCAACCACTCGTCGGTTGGTCGGTTGCAAGGCGAATGGAACATCTTGTTATCCTAGCATCAGTAGAATAAATACAATTCTTCTACAGCCACAACAAGCTGGGATATGTCCTGGAAGATGCAGAATCATCACATGGCACTACGGACCACTGTTATTGGCTTCCATTCCAGGGGGTTCGACAGAGCAATCTTCGTATGCCGCTGTGGAGGCCAGGAGAGAATTGATTCATTTTCTGTTCTTCAATTAAACCGTCTGTCAATCAAAGGGCGCATTGTTGTCCGAGTGAGGACAGCAAACATTCCGTCTTGATGCTATTTTTCTCCAACACCGATCCGATGCTTCATGGAAGGCCGACCGAGTAAAATGGTTCTCGAGCTAAGCCTGGACCTTTCAATAATGATACGGATTCCGTTTCCGACCTTTTTTTTTTTTTGAGGGCGTGTTTGATTTGTAAGTCCCGTAATTTGGAGAACCTGATGGGCTCTCTGCTCAAATGCCATTTGAGCTGGTTTGTCCTTTCTGTACCTTTGTATGCAGGAAATCTTGGGAAAATGTTATTTGCTAAAGCATAGAATCTACCATTGTGACCTGTACTGATTGTACGAGTGTTGAGAAATGTGGAGAAACGCTGCTGGAATTCTTGCGGTTTGTTTGATTTGTGAATACAGAAGGGATCAATTTACGGTCAATAGAATGATTCGATTGGAAAACTCAAACAGCTTGTGTTGAATTGTTGGGACAGTGAAATGCCCAGGGGGTGATACAATTTCATAGATGCGCCTCATAGTTTGCAAAATGTTCGGGAAAATAGTGGAAACGTGAAAAGATCCTCGATCA